GTTTGACCAATATTTGTATCCGTCAATATCTAACTTAGAGCATATATGACTCAAATATAGGTACCAGGAATACTAACTCTAACTCTAACATAAATTATATAATACGTAGCGAAACGATAGAAGAAAATACCTTTATTGTGTAAACTAATTCGTTAAGAAATATTGTTCACTAATATATTGTATAAGTATTACAATTTGGTGCCTATAGGTATAAAAAACATACAAAAAAGTTGTTCTAAAAATCTATCGTTCGATAAAAATAATCAAATAAACACGTGCATATTATGTATTATTTTATTTTTTATTGTTACAGCATCAACATCATGGTTATTAGCTTAATTTTATTATTATTATTATTGATCCTATAACATATAGAGTTTTATGTTTTATGTAAGCCGTGTCAAGAGGTGGGGGTCAAATGAGGCAAGTGTGCCAAAAGTTGTAACATTTTAAATGGCGGCAAATGTTTATGTCTGTATATTTTATATATGTTTAATAGGGTACCGAATATTATTGCCCTGGGATGCCAATGATAGTCACCACTGATTATGCTTTTAAACGACTTAGAAAACCATTAGCGGTATACCTATATCGTATACACTATACCTATCTATATTTGCCGCAGTCTGTGCTATAATATGTATTTAGGTACCTATACTTACAACGTACTGTACTACGACGAGATTCTGTTTTGGATTCACAATAAAAAGTTCACCACACACAGCTTTCTCATGAGACACGACGATCCTGYYCAATGYACAACCTGCGGAGAAGCTCTAACTATCAAACACGTCCTTCTACACTGCCGAAATTTTACAGATACCAGAACCTCCTTAAACATTCCAGAACACCTCTACGAAGCACTCGGACCGGACTATGAAAATTCTATTAATATTCTAACTTTCCTAAAAATAACCAAACTTTATAACCTCATATAATTTCATATGTTTTCATAGATATTCCCCTACTTTAATTACACATACCCACCAAGAATAATTTTATTGTAATATTGTAAAATGTATTGTAAATTGTACCTGTATATATAAGTAATATTTTAAAATGTGTAAGCTAATAACCTTAGTTGTTGAGGCTTTAAAGTAATAAAAAA